CATGACACTGGTGAATGACTCGAACAGCGTATTGATGAAGTGTCATTTCTAAAAATGTAAACAACATACCAACTGAGTAACAGCGAAAATACAGACAATAATATAATCATGTCCATCCCCAGTGAGATCTAAGTGGATTACAGTGGTCATTTACTTGGAGTCAACAGTACTTGAGATAATCTTTTCCCGGTTGACAGACCTAGTTTCTAAGTTTGGACAGGTGAACAGGTGTGTCCAATCATATGGGCTCAGACAACGCAATGAATCTCAGGAATTTCTGCAAAATATAAAGTCTAGTACAACAGAACTTCTCATTTCAGAATTTTATAGTTTGGATTCATCTTTTATAGTATGAAGTGGTTGACTGCCAGTCACACATTTATAGGCCTGTTAGGAGCCATCACAGGCAATGTATATCTGGAGTTTGATGCAACACCAGACAACATCCTGGTCTCACCAACCACTCCCACAGAAAGCTTGCACTCTCTGTACAGATTCCAGGCCTCATCGGGAGCAAACCGTCCTGCCCCAGTTTACCCCTGACTGCAGTCAATCCCCCTTCACCTCATGGAGTGATAGTACAGGTTATCTCTTGCCTCCATGCTATAAAAGAATTTTATCTATCTTTACATTAACTATACCATTGAGTGTGAAATCATTTCTGTACTTAACTAGAATATTACCAATTCATCATAAGAAAATTGTAAACATGATGCAAGCCAGAGCCCATAGGGAGGTCCACAAACATCAGTCCTTCATTTGCAGTCTTGCCAACCAGCTTTTCAACATAAGCTTTTCTTCTGCGAGGCCTAGCACCTCACACATGGTTATTTCACAGTCACATATATTCTTGTATAGACTCATAAGCTAAAAGGTTTCTGTCATTTGTTGATTCCAAATAATTCTTGCCACCTGCTGTAACACTACTGGGACAAAACACATACAAATATGAGCATGCAAAACAATCAGTGTCTGATTTAGAATTCTCAAACCACACCGTTCTGTCTGATCTTCACAAACATCACTGGTGTGACATGAATAGCACAGAAACAGATCGTTCTATACAGTGATGACCATTAGGCTTCAGGATGTTACAAGTTTTATAGTTTTCCATTGTCTTCTTTCCCCCCTTAGTGGTATGTCTACCTCATCCCAGGAGACAAAACCAAGCACAATTACAGTCCCTCTGCACACAGCATCACATATGTCTTTCACTTCTTGAAGCCAGGGCTTAGCTTTAGCCTTTACCTTTAACACTGCTGCCAGAACAACTTAGCAGCACACAGTTCAGGAATAATATTCCAATTCTGATTGTTGCTTACCAGTAATACAAAACAAAGCATACAGATTGTTGGTGCAACTCATCTAAGAAATATAGAATTCCAATTTGGGACACGAGACCTGCTATGCAGAAAAGAATAACCAATCTATCTTGTTATTCAAGATACATGACCTGCACTGAATAGGCTAATGCAAGAGTAGTCATGGCTGTGGTAGGTATATCCCCCCAGCCTCTGACCAGGACATTGTTCATTACATGAATCACAACATCAGGTGTGGACAAGACACACAAGAGACAGGTACACGATAACTGAGTCATTACACCAGTTAGCAAAAGTTAGTAGACACAATTAACTATATTTAGGATATGTTTTTCTTCCATGTGATATTCGGGCTGGTCTTGTGCTGCTCAACGTTCACTGATCTCTGTTCAGAATTCTTGCCGTTCATGATAAGGTTTCATCTAACATGTTGGAAGCCAGCAGGGTCCTGTGGGAGGCAAAACACAAACAACTCCCCCCTTCCAAATACTAACAACTTAATATTTACTTGAGGTGTCATATTACTCTTCCTCATTACAACAGTATAATTGTATCAAGTTAAGGTTTTGTTCTGTGGGTGGGAGGCCTGGAAGGTCACCAAGTTGCTGCAACCTCTCTATGATCTCTTCTATGGGTGCCCCCAAGTTAGACACTAGTAGTGGAATAATGTATGGTTTCCAGGGTACAGGACAGCCTTCTAACAGTTTGTTTCACATTACTGGAATTAAAGGCTGTTGCATGTAAAGTTCTGGGCTCTGCAGCTCAATAGCTACTTTCATCCCTTCCCCCTTTAATATTTTGATTGCTTGATGCAGAGTTACCCAGGATGAACTTCCATCCTGCCATGATCCATCATTAGTAAAACGGTCACTGAGACCTTCAGCAATAACTGAAACTAAAGTTCTATCAACTCCTGGTGTTTGTCTTAAACGCCAAAGGGCATTTTGTACATATACGTCATTAGTTAACCCTAAAAACTTCGTGGCATCAACTTCGTCTATTATCACAGAGTCAGCTCCTTGCTCCATTAACCTAACCATCCACATTTGTGCTCGTTCTCCAGGTTGCTGAGAATATTTAGATAAAAGATTTTTAATATCCTCTGGGGAGAAATCAGCAACTTCATCCTGCCTCACTCGGTTACCCTGGTTATCTATCACGGCCTTCCGCCGTACAACAGGGGCTGCCTTTATTCTATGTGCCAGTTTATCTGCTGTCGATAACTTCTCTGAATTTGCTATAAAATTGTCCTCATCAGAATCATCACTACTACTCCATATGTTACCATCCCACTTCTCTGGATCCCAATCAGGGGAAGTGACTATGGCTCGCACCCGTGGCCCCCGATCATTTCGGTCTATTTTCTTTTGTCTGCGCCGAACAGTTCTCACAGCATATTTCTCAGCTAAAGTAACACATTTATCTTCTACCCTGTTCTTCTTGGCCTGAAGGTCAAGTAAAGTCTGGCGTTGTACCAACTGAGTGGCTCTTACAGCATTCAGCTGCTCCTGCAGTTTTGTGCATTTTTCCACAGTTAACTTATATGCAGTAAGCAGTGCACCCCCCATTCGTCCAGCCTGTTCCAGACGACTGCTTGATTTAGTAGTAGGGGTAAACTGCTCCCAGTATCGCAATACCTCCATCGGGGTCTGCTGCCCCCAATACTCAAGAGGAATCTTTGTACATGCTTCCCACTTACTCCACAAAGTAATCCATGGCTCCTGCCCCAGTTCTATTAATTCACGGGGAGGAGCTTTCTTGGGTTCATTGCCGCCTGCGGCTGACCCTCCTAACCACTTTTTCATCTTAATCTACTAACGTTCTTGCCAACAAAACAATGACAACAGATTCTCAATTTTTAAGCTAAACACAATGAGACACACCAATCCACAAACTATGGCTCTTACATCACAAACAAGCCTAACTACACATACACATCAAATCTAAAATCTCTATATACCAACCACAAAATACACACTCTACAATAACTCTGAATGAATCCTCAGAAAGACATACCTATGAGTGAAACAACAATAAAACCTAATCCACCGGGTATCTTCTAGGCTTTGATTCGCTCCACACCGAATACAATAAAAATTTAAAGTACGATCTAGCCTTATCTCCTGGCTGCCTCTAGGTCCCAGGATATATTTATTACAATTAATACAACGAAGTCGTACATATAAACAACAGTTGCAAAAAGGACAAATCTTAATTCTAGGTCTCAAGAAGTGTGATCACAATTAATTGCTCAGAACTACCTCCCATATGCAAAAAAAAACCAAACAAAGCATATAAAACACAAGCACTGCCACCCATATAGTAACTTAATCAACAAGAACAACAAAACCCAGTTTAAAACAAAGTAAAACTAGCAGAAGATATGAACCCAGACACTGGCACCCACGGCACCCACACAGAGTTCACCTCGCACACAGGGACGCGGCTTCCCAGGCTATGCTCTCCACCTGAGAATCTCCCTTTTACACAACACACACGGGGACGTGGCTCTCCAGGCTGTGCACTCCACCTGAAGATCTCCCACCAATACACAGAGAAACGTCAGCTGAGCACTCCACCAACGAATTCCCTGGGGCACTGCTTATTCCTCCATGTATCCTGCCGACTACGCCAATTTATGTAGCAGTACGTTCGGATACATGTTCGGAATAAAGACAAGTGCCAAAAAATACTCAAGCACACAAAATATCTTTTATTACAGTGAGAATAATAATACTAGTAAGAAACTTAGCAAGAGGAATTAAAAACTAAAAAAAAAGGATACAAAATAACTATCTTATGGGGTGGCATTAAAACAAATACTATGAACAGCATTTAGTACAGTATTAACTAGTGAAAAAAAAAAAAGGAATACCAAAAAAGGATCTTAACACAATATTATGGATAACATGATATTGGTTAGTAAAGAGGGAAACTAAAGGAAAAAATACTATAAACATAAAAGGGGAATTAAAGGAACACTAAAAGGATATTAAAAAGTTTGTTCTCTCAGTTGCTTCCTATCAATAACCTGTGCTTACCCACACAGACAGGCCAGGGCTGTCAGGATCTGCAGCAGCTGGTCGGTGCCCGTGCTTAGCGGGCGTCCCCGCGGAGCAACACAGTCTCGGTGGTAGGATGAGTATCGCTCAACTCAGCAGCTCCGACACCCCATTTTTATCAGTTCCACATTACACTACGTAGGGCCAGTACGTAGTATAAGGTGATGCCTGAATGGCAGCCAAACACCGCCTAATCATTACCTCATGGCAACAGTCTGCGCATGCCCTACTTGTAGGGCAAGGGGCGAGCGACCCCTGCCCACATAATCTTCCTCCCATCATCATCTTTCTCACCCCTATGTATGACCTCTACCATTGTGTTTCAAGGGTAGATGTATCTATCCTGCAATATGTAGCAAAACCAAGGAAAAACTCAGCTCTGATAATAGGGGATATCAAGCTGACTTGCTAAAAAGCACAATGGACCTTACAAGCTGACTTGTTAAAAAGCACAATGGACCTTACAATTAGCTTCTGCCATAAGTTACATTGTACCATAGTCTAGCTGGTTTCACATCCTAATATGAGTTCGTTCTCACGCCTCTATGCTCCATTGATCATCTAATTCAAAAGTACCCCCCTTACATCTTCACGGATGGCTCCTGCCGCATTGTAGGGACAAACCGAAAATGGAAGGCAGCTGTATGGAGTCCCACACAGCGAGTTGCAGAAGCGACTGAAGGACAAGGTGGGTCGAGTCAGTTTGCAGAGCTTAAAGCCATTCAGTTGGCTTTGGATATAGCTGAACGAGAGAAGTGGCCAAGACTCTATCTCTACACTGACTCATGGATGGTGGCCAATGCTCTGTGGGGATGGCTGGAGCGATGGAAAAAGGCCAACTGGCAGCGCCAAGGGAAACCCATCTGGGCGGCGGAGATGTGGCAGGACATCGCTGGCCGGGTAGAGAAGCTGAGTGTGAAGGTCCGTCACGTAGACGCTCATGTAGGCAAGAAACGGGCTAATGAGGAGCATCGTAACAACGAGCAGGCGGACCGAGCTGCCAGGATTAAAGTCTCTCAGGTAGATCTGGATTGGCAGCACAAAGGAGAATTATTTCTGGCTCGATGGGCCCATGACGCCTCTGGTCACCAGGGGAGAGATGCAACATACAGATGGGCTCGTGACCGAGGGGTGGACTTAACCAAGGACATTGTCTCACAGGTCATCCATGACTGTGAGACATGTGCTGCCATCAAGCAGGCCAAGCGGGTGAAGCCTCTATGGTATGGTGGACGGTGGTCGAAGTACAGGTATGGGGAAGCCTGGCAAGTTGACTACATCACGCTCCCCAAAACCCGCCAAGGCAAGCACTACGTACTGACCATGGTAGAAGGAAGTACTGGATGGTTGGAGACATACCCCGTGCCTCATGCCACTGCCCGGAATACCATCCTGGGCCTTGAAAAACAAGTCCTGTGGCGACACGGCACCCCAGAGAGAATTGAGTCTGATAATGGGACCCATTTCAAGAATGTCCTCGTAGACACCTGGGCCAAAGAGCACGGCATTGAGTGGGTGTATCATATCCCCTACCATGCACCAGCTGCTGGAAAAGTTGAGCGGTGCAACGGACTGCTGAAAACCACCCTGAAGGCACTGTGTGGGGAGACTCTCAAACACTGGGAGCTGCATTTAGCAAAGGCCACCTGGTTGGTCAACACCCGAGGCTCCATCAATCGAGCTGGCCCTGCCCAATCAGAACTTTTGCATACTGTAGATGGAGATAAGGTCCCCGTGGTACATATGAGAGGAATGTTAGGGAAGACTGTTTGGATTAGTCCCACCTCAAGCAAAGGCAAACCCATCCGAGGGATTGTTTTTGCTCAAGGACCTGGTTCTACCTGGTGGGTAATGCAAAAAGATGGGGAGACACGTTGTGTACCACAAGGGAACCTAATTCTGAGTGAGAATGGTCTGTAATGTTTCATTGTATATATATGTATATATATATAGATGTATATAGTTTTAAAGGGATATAGTTTTTTTAAAGGGGGTTAATTTGGGCATGACATGGATGGCATAGAATAAGGGGTGGATAATGTCCTAGTTAGGACAACTGAGACCAGTTCATCAGGGTATGGGTGTAACCCAAAACTGTGTATTCTATAGCCTTCCATGCCATTTCCCAGAAACTGTTATCAATGAACCATTTACACCCTCTGCCCATAGAGCCTGACTCCTCAGGCTATAAACTAGGTGTTAAGAGGCCTGTGAGATAGGAGGATGCTCCTGTCCTCACACCCTTTGTGGAACTCCCCGCCCTGAGGGAAGTGCTGAGCATTCCTGCCTGAACTGCAGGATATATAATCTTGGAGTCTTGGAACATTTGGAACCACTCTGTGGGATCCAGAGAAGGACTGCGGCTCATCGCTCTCAAACAGACTTGGATCACCACCCTATACTGGACTCCAATCACCACTTTGACCAGACTGCAACAGCTCTCCCACCAGCAGGTTCTTCCCCTCTCCCTTTACTTTGGACTCAAGCGGGGCCCAAGGAACACCACGTTGTTCATGCCCCAGGGTACTTGGTTATACATTTGGGTTTTGTGGGTTAAGACCAATTGTTTGTTTGTATGATTGTACTTACTGTATTATTTTAGTAAATTGTTATTCTGACTTATAATCTCTCCTTTGAGTTGAGTTCATTTCCCCTGCTGGTTAACTCTTAAACCAGCACACTTCCAGTCCAAAGAGCTCAGCAGCATCTGCAAAGCAGGATGTTAAACGCTGCAAGGCTGCTTCTGTGTGGGCATTAAAAATACTGAAATCTAACAATGCACCTTCTAAGAAACCCATGGCTATGAGTTCGTCAGTAATATCTGGCACACCGAGTTTCCTCCAAAGTCTGATTAGCTCCACATCTAATACAATATAAATTCAAAGTCCAATCTATTCTTATTTCTTGGGTAGACTGGGGTCCAAGAATATATTTCAAACAATTATTACATAAAGCACGCACATAAAATGAACAATTACAAAATGGACAGATTCTAATTCTAGGTTTCTGGCTATGTGGTGTATTCACAGTCAACCTCTCAGACCCCCTCCCCATAAAAACCTTAACAAGATGTCTCTATGGCTGGTTCAGAATGAACAGACACTTCAGAAGCTCGATTTTGCTTCCACACAAAAAGAGAAAACACAAAATTATCAAAGCAACATAAAACAAACCAAAAAATATGACAACTGCCACTTTCCAAGAATACACAATACTATAGGCGCCTCAAACCATAAACAAAAGAACAACCAAAAGGAAACTTAGACACCTCGTTTCCCTCAAAAGAAACAATATCTGGCCAAATACAAACAAAACTGGAACATACCAGCCCGAAGGGGATATTCCCCAGGAAGAGCATCCTCTCCCCTCTCAGCGAGACGGCGTCCCGTCCTTGTCTTATGGGAATCCAAAACCAAAATAGACAAACCCAAATAAAAATGCCTTTTACCAATAGGCAGCATTCTTGTCCAGCCCCCGCAGGAAGCCACCGAAGAAGGGAACCCCTTCAGGTGAAAAGACTCATCCAAGGGCACCCAAGGGGGTCCCGACATCTGAGGATTCCACATCCAGGAGGAGAAGTCATTGTCGTACTGCAGGTCACCAAATGAATCTGAAAAATCCAGTTTAAAGAGCTGCTCAGAGACTTTTGTCTCTCTTGAGCAGCAAAGGTATTTATTTGCTGACATTGGGAGCAAGCGTGGTTTGCACCATAGAGAACTTGCTCAAAGGCCTCACACAAAATCAGAGATTTTTATACATTTTTCATATATGATTAAATGTATATTCATATGATTACAACATCTATCTACACACATGAATAACAGGCGGAGTGTAGGCAGAGCTCAGGCGGAGCTTGGGGCGGTGCTTCTCTTGGTACTCAGTTCTGCTAGGGTTTAGGTCTTCCTCCCATGAGTCTGGGGTCTTTCCTCCTCTTCATCAGCCTTGAACTCTTTACCTTTCCATTGTTCTCGACCAACTCGGTGAAACTTGGAGAAAGCCCTGGCTCCGGGCCTATTTCTGCTATTCAAATTTCTACCTTATCTTCCTGAATCCTAATTTATTACCTCTGGGCCTATTGAATATTGCCTCTAGCATTCTTCTAAGTTTTGGTCCAGTAAGCAGAACAGAACTAACTGTGGTGACACAGACCCATTAGATGTTAGGGGGCTTTTTAGCAGGCCCAGATCTCAGTTAACACCTTTGGGCTGAGCTTCTTGTTTCACCTGGGGCCCCTCGGACACTTCACGACCTGATGTCAACAAGGGGGAGCCAGTGACACTGAGGAGTCTCAAGGACCCAAAGGCACCCTGTGACACTGGGGCACCTCGTGGTTATCGGTCTCTTCTGATAGTTCTGTGCAACCACAGAGAGGCAAAACAGCAGAGCCTGAGCGTGTTGATCCAAACTATTCCCATCTCATCTGAAGATGCCCCTGCTAACAGAGGTCCTGTGTGTTCCCTCTGCTCTCTGGGCACTTGCATCCTTTGAGAGCTGCCCATCACTGCGGTAGCCAAGAGCACAGGGCGGGGGATCCCCTGGAGGGGAGCAGAGACATCTTTCCTAGATCACCTTGCTCAGAGTCCCATCCAACCTGGCCTTGAATGTTTTCAGGGTTGGGGTGATGCCCAAAAAGGCGCAATGGAACTGTTTAGAGACAGAATTTTAGCCTTTAAACAGCAAGGTATTTATTTAAGCAATGTTGGAGAACAGCCAGCTTGCGCTGGACAAACTGCTCTGCCTTTTCAGTGAAAAGACAGGGTTATATATATTTTCTACAAGTCATTACAACATTTTCACATGCATATTCATAGAATTGCAACATCTAGTTATAATATTCATAATAGGTGAGTCTGGGTGGGGTTTGAGGTGGAGTTGTCTTTTTGGGGTGATATTCAGTGGTCGTTCCTGTTTCTTCAGGGGGGGGTTGTGTTTTCAGTCTTCTTCCTCAGCTGAACTTTTCAACTTTCTGGATTTTTGCTGACTCTATGGTGAATTTTGCAACAGTTTTGGACTCAAGCCCCTCTTTCGCCCCTTATCTTTAATTTATGTAGGTGTGCGAGCATTCTTCTAGTGTACAGTACCATGTAATCCTTAAGCTCTGGTTTCTATCTCTAGCTAAGCAGTACATTCTAGCTAAGCATTACATTATTCTGAGCAGCAGATTCTCTGGATTAATATTTAGAGTTAACTCTTTTAGGCCTTAGCTCCATTTCAGGGGAATCCACCACCTCCCTGCAAATGTGTTCCAGTGTTTCATTCTCACAACAAAACATTTCTTCCCTCTCTCTAGTTTGAACCTTCAGTCTTTTAGTTTAAGCCCCTCACCCCCTGTCCTATTGTGACAGGCCCTACTGAACCCTTTGCCCACATGTCTCTAAAAAGCTGCCTTGAAGTACTGGAAGGCCCCAAGGAGGTCTCCCCACAGCCTTTTCTTCTGCAGGCTGAAGAGCCCCCACTCTCTCAGCCTGTCTCCATGCGAGAGGTGCTGCAGCCCTGGGATCCCCTGGGTGGCCTCCTCTGGAAGTGCCCCAAGAGGTGCGTGTCTTTGCTGTGCTGAGGAGCCCATGGAGCTGCAGGAGATGCCAGGGCTGGCAGGGGAATCCCCCCAAGCCATTGCCATTGTGGGCGGGTGCGTTGCAGACAGCCAGAGGAGCCCAGAGCTGGAGGCAGCACTGCAGGAGGGGTCTCAGCTGAGCAGAGCAGAGGGGCAGAACCCCCCTCCCCTGCTGCCCACGCTGTGGGATGAGCCCAGGACATGGGGGGGTTGTGGG